CGTCGACGGTTTATCACGGATAATGAAACCCGTCTGTAAATTCTTTGGCCTGTACATATAAAAAGTAAAATTTATTAAAATTTAACTATTTATTGTTTTTATTGTAAAAAAGTATCAGATTTAGTATCGTTTAAATAGCATAATCTTTTTACACGTAGCTTTAAGTGTCTATATAAAGTATATATAAAGTATTCTTTTCTTCGAATAAAAAATAGTATTATATATGTATAGTTTGAATATACACGATTATGTAATAGGATTTATACAGGATTATTAATAGGTTTTTCTTATAGCTATCCACATGTTTGGGGATAATGAAGACCACTTTCATCTTTTATTTTATTTTATTTTTTCCTTCAATGTACCAGAGTTTTCAATCAAGAGTTGCAGCAACATTTTGAGGCTAATTACGTTTTTAAATTTAATTTAATTTAATTACGTAATTAAAATTCTACATTACAATTGAAAAATCAATTTTGGAGCAACACTTTCATCGAGTTACGCTGAATCACTACATACCTTTTGTTGCCAAAATTCCATTTATAGAATTGTTCAATTTGAATCATTTCCCTATTATAATCTTGTATATTAACATTTTTTATTGTAGTAAAAAAAGGATGATTAATCAGTCAATTCTTACAGAAGTTTTTCGATTACTGCAGCATCTTTTATTGTAAAGTCTCGTTCCAGTGCTGCAGCTTTTACACAACTTTCTTTAGCAACTTTTTCCACTAATGACCCGATTTCTGTTTCGTATTTTTTAAACGTGCTGAAGCTAATTGTTGGTATGTTAAGGCATGAAAGTATTTTATTTAAATGTGTCCATCCCATTCCAGCGTGAATGATACCTAAGCAAGCATTCAGAATAATATTAATTATTACGTATCATTTGCACTCTATATATTGCAATTCACTGTCACTGATTTACCTAGCACCATTTTCGAATTTACATCAAATCGGTTCGTACTACTATCCAACGAAGAATGCTTTTTACTCGTGTTTACAACATTTAAAATCAAGCATTTGTGGCAGCGCACTTGTAAAATTGAAGCAAGACCTCGACGTGTTTCCTGCTCTATGTTATCTAAAGATAGAGCTTCTTTACAATAACAACACCACATCTGTTTGGCGAGATAAGAGAATTCGACAATTCTATGCCCCTCCATATAATCGAGCTCTTGAGTGTTGTCAACATTTTTATTTGTATCCTGTATTGTTTCATCGATAGCTGTAGATGTTTTAGCAACAGGTTTTATAATTTCTTTTGGCGAGTATTTTCTTCTTTTTTTACCGGTTTCAGACATCTTAAGCCGCTGTTTATATACAGCCTCTGATATCCATTTACCCTTGTAACGAAACTTACACAACTTGTTGCACAACATTTTTACTTTTGAATTAATGATGACAGCTGTCTTAGGCTATGTGATTATGTCGGACCACCGTCGCGGGTTGCTTGGCAGTTCACTGCAGCCAACAGTCAATGCGGTGTTGCCATATCTTCTTGTATTATTTACATTAAAAAATTGTTTTTAATTTTTAGCGTATTATCTGCATTTTAAAATAATATTTTATGCTATTGTGTGATATTTTTGACTATATACAACCAACACTTTCTGTCTATATGCAGATTACATATGTCAGATTTTTGGTTTTAGCAGTTGGATTCTGGGCAAATTCACAGCCAAAAGTTTTGAACTGCTATTAAGAATATTTATAAATACGCTGTAAATAATTATAAAAAGAGGTTGAAGTTATTTAAATCAGTGACATTAACATCTTTGTTATAATATTCAATAATAGCCAGCCGTTAAAGTATGCATACAACCGATATATATTGAATTTTTAAGATTACTGTATTTTTTGCTGGGAAGGTATATGTAATACATCCTTAAA